AAGGAGATGGAGAAAGGGATGTGGTGAGAAGATCTGGAAAGAGGCAGGGAGAGGTTTTTATTTTTTTTAACATTATTAATGGAAGGAAATCATCAATAATATAATAGAATGGAATAAAAATAATGATTCCCATTCTACTTTATTATCATTACCAATCCCATTTTCATTCCTTGAAATGAACCAAACGCCCCCTCAGATTTTATAACTCATTGATTATGTCACCCTTATCCTGATATACACTTCTTCTTGATATGTCACTTTTATTCCAGTATACACTTCTCTTTGATATTCCAGCCTTATAACCAAAGTACATCTCTTCTTGATATGTCATCCTTATAACCAAAATACACGTCTCCTTGATATGTCACTTTTATTTCAACATGTGATATAACATAACCAAAAACCCACGTTTATGCTAATTATAGCATTCAAAATAGTTTTATATCAACAATTCACATAAAGAACCATATACCATCAGTTTCCAAATAAGGAAAATTGGTAAAAGTTAAACTCACCTTATTTAACTCATGTAGATAAAGATGAAACAACGATAATCTTCCACATAGAAATCACAAATACAATTTCAATCTTTCCTCCTCATGTTTTCTGTTGATTTGCACCCAAAAAAACACACACAAATTAAACCAATGAGATAAGATAAATATCTCAATACCCATTTTAAACATTAAGAGACGGTGGGGATTATTATTTTTAATATTTTAAAAATATTTAAACATTTAACCAAGTCAACCCCTTTAACTTACCATCATAATTCAAAAACCACCCCCAACTTTATAACCGAATATCCCGTTATCACATGCTTATATAAGATAACATTCTCATAATATGCCATGGTGGAATAAGACCCAGAAAATTAAGATAGGCTATGATGAAATTATAACAGCGTAACCTTTAATAGATAATTAGAACCACATGTTTGGAATCTGATGTATTAAAAAAAAACAATTTGTACAAGTAATGGAGTTTAGGGTTTAGGGTTTAGGGTTTAGGGGTGTGATGGTTATTTAATTGTCCTTGATGTTCATATATAAATCACAATTTTAAAGAACAAATCCCATTAATTTTCATGTTTATTTAACAAAAGACATTACAACTCTTATTTTTCTTATAATATTGATGATACATGTGATTCTATTATTACATGTGAAACAATTATTTATGTAATACATAATATTTTTATGACAACCAATTCTATAAATTTGTATAACGATAACTTTACATTAATTTAGATACAAATGATCTAACAGATAGTTTTAAAATTGAAATAGAAGTATAATGATGTCATATTATGAAATTGTTCAATAACGTAAAAACCACACAACAAGTAGAGAAATAATATGAAGTTACTATTCGTTTTGATATGTCAGTAATCACAAATCTTGAAGGATTACCGATAAATATCTGTTTTTTTTTCTTTTCTTATTTAATAGTTTTCTAAATCTGTAGATTATTCTTCCAGTGATTATTTATAGATAACTTTTTTACTTAATAATTTTCTAAACTTGTACGTACGCCTTCAACGATCACCGATAGTCATCTATTTTTTCACATTTGATAGTTTTGAAACCGTAGGTATTCCTTTGTCGACAAATAATATTTGAAATTCTGTTTTTTTTTATTTTGTAGTTTTCTAATTCCGTATGTAATTTTTTTAGTGATCAACGATGGATATATTTTTTACCATCCAAAAGTTTTCTATACACGTAGGTAATTCTCGGTGATCACAGAAGAATACTTTGAAAAGAGAAAAAATGTATTAATTTTCCATTTTCAATTTACGATTAAAAATTTACATCATGTTACATTGCACATTTGATAAGAACTAGAAGAGTACATACACAATGTAGCGATATATATCTAATTTTAATTTTTTATTTTATTCATTTCTATGTCAATATAATACGGTTTTACGTGGTTTTAGAAAACGATAATATTTTTATTTTTAAACAAAGTAAAAATTTGATATAAAAAAAGTATCGATATTAGTGTTAGATTAACTATTTAAAAGTTCTCGTTTTCTGTGTAATTTCTTTAATTCAATTTTTTAATTTAGATTTAATAATAAAGTAATTTATTTTTTGTTTAACAATATAATTTTTATAAGGATGATAATTAAGTATTCTGTTAAAATTCAATGATTATTCTAATTATATTTTAATTTTTTATATTGAAAATGAGATGTTTATGTATTTGATTATGTTTATCTACAGTTAGTTACACGAATTCAAAAATAAAGTTTTAATAAGTTGTACTTACGCATAATTTACTTGTACTGTTGAATTTTAAGTAATATGCATCAATAAACAGTACTTCATGCATAAAAAATGTTTTTAAGAGTGTTTGTCAAATGTTTTATAATATAGTATAGATAAAGTGTATTATATCGTTAAAAAAGTAATATCTAAGAACATCTCCAAGAGATTCTCTATAATTTCTCTAAGAGCTTGATTGTTTTTCTTTTAATGGTTCAATTGAGAGTGAGCATCTGAACGGTTTTCTACCTGGGCTTAAATGTATCATTCAGAGCCAGAACTTTTCCTCGATTGCCCATGAACTGCTATCTTCTCGTGTTTCATATCCGAGCGATTCATGATTGTTGCTCTCTATTGTCTCATCGATCTCCTCTCCTCCGATCCATGTCCTCTACTCTTGGTGGTATCTTCTACCCTTGAACGATTTTCCAATTCTTCTTTTTTCCTTCATTACATTCCTCTTTGTTTTGATCTATGGTGGAATCTCATCTGTTATTTGATTCACATCAGCTTCTCCATTTGATTCTTGTGCAATGTTTTGTCCTCTAATGTTGCTCTTGTTGATTTTACAGTCTAATGCACACAATGTGCTTGAGTATTTGTCCATAAGAAGTTTATTTGTCAATTTTGGTACCAGTCTTCCTATCTTCTTTTTTTATTAACCTAGATATCAACTCGTTATACGAGCTTACTAATCCCAAAGTGACCAGAGTCACCTCATTTGAACCTCCATGGCTATAAGGAGATTTTTATCCCTCCTTAGATTTGAACTTGGGACCTCTAGACACTTGTGACCTTTGAAGCTCAAATTCAAACTAATCAGACATCACCCCTGCGGTTGTCTTCTTATCTTCTTGGTTATGAGCAACAACAATTATATCTTGTTGGCTTGGTGCTTTGTTGTTGCACCAATTCCCAAACTTATCATAACTCCAAAAATATTCTTGTTGCCTTTTTGATTTACTATTGAACTAATAAGTGGGCAATTGAACCACAAGGGTGGTGTCTGATTGTTTTGAACTTGGCTCCAAAGGTCAAAATTACCAGGAGGTCTGACGTTCAAATCCAAGGAGGAATAAAAATCCCCTTGTGGCAACATGGCCATTCAAATACGATGACTCCGGATTATTTGCAAAGCAGGTGGTCGTCCTGGTATTAATCGGCTCACATAGCGGATTGGATATCCAGGTTAATCAAAAAAAAAAGTAGTCAATTGTTAATTATATTTATAAACTTCCTTCAAATGATGAAAAAGAAAAGATATCATAGGAACAAATTCAACAATAGGAGTAGTTTATTTTCTTCATTTACCAAACAACAATTTTTTTTCTACATTAAATTATACAGAGCCTCTTAATCATTTTGACCAATTGAATGACGTTAGTGACGAAAACCGAAATAATAAAAAACTAAAATTATAATAATCAAAAATATGAAACAACGAATTGTATGAAAAATATTTAACTATTTTATCATAAACAATAATAAAATAATATATTTTTTAATTTATTAATTCTTTTATCAAAAAATATATAATTTGATTAGATCAAAACGACTAAAATACCAAACAAAAAAAGAACCAGAAAGACAAACACACCCTTAAGTTAATAGAAAGATTTTAATAGATTTAATCTTAGGTACGAGAATAACAATAAATTACAAACTATGCGACAAAAACCGCAACAAATTACAACCACAAGTATAAAAATCGAAATTTTAAAACCACAGGGATGAAAATCATATTCTTTCTCAAACCACGGGGACTAAAATCGTAGTTTGCTCTTTTGAAAATGTATTGAGACAATAAAATTATATAATATATTTTAGTGACATAGTTGATGAGGTACTTCTTTAAAATATAAAATCTATTGAAGCTAAATATAAAAAATTAAGAGATTTTGACTTTTGATTTTTTGTTTAAAAAAAATTATAGAATATCTGTTAAAGATGCTTAAAATTTAGAGTTTTCTTGTATTTTTTTTATAAAGAATTAGAATGGTACTAGCACAATGTAGTGAGATATATCTCGATTTGAATGTTTCGTTTTTATTTCTTTTTTTTGTCTCAGTTGATGTTATAATACGATTTTATCTGGTTTTAAGAAAACGATGATGTTTTTATTTTTGAATAAAATATAAATATGAAGATATCATCAAAAATTGAAAAAAAAACATTGATATTAATACCAAACTAACTATTTAAAATTTCTCGTTTTTTATGTATTTCTTTAATTCATTTTTTTATTTTTGGTTTCATAATATAATTTTTATAAAGATAATAATCAAGTATTTTGTTAGAAGTCAATAATTATCTTAATTATAATTTAGATTTTTTATATTTAAATGAGATATTTATCATCTATCCGATTATGTTTATATGCACTTAGTTACACGAATCCATACATAAAGCTTTAATTAGTTGTATTTGCGTACAATTTACTTGTAATCTTGTATTTTAAGTAATATACATCAATAAACAGTATTTCATGTATAAAAAATGGTTTTTAAGAGTTTATGTCAAATGTTTTATATTATAGTATAGATTTGTTTAGCAAAATTAAAAATAGATTATACATTTTTTATAAAATGAAAAATAGAGATGTTGTAACAGACGGATATCTGTATATCGTAGATTTTTAGCCAATCAAAATATAAATTTGTTCCAGCTTAGTTTATTATATATTTTTTATCGTTATTAGGTTGGCGGCAGCCGCTATAATAGGAGAACCAGAGCATGCTCCCTCTGCTGAGATGCTCTGTTTCAGAAATCTTCGCATCGATAACAGCATTCCCTCTTTTCGTTCAGATCTCATAGAGGCTTTTTGTCTACAAACCCGTGGAGTTGTTGCAATCCATTTGAAAATTATCAGAAGTTTTGGAGTAACTGCTGCAACAGCTCATACTTGATTTCAACACATCCAAAACACGGTATGTATCTGCATTCGCAACAATATGTTGTCGCATTTCCGCTTGAGCTTAGAATTTACGATTTGAATTAAGAAATTCGCATTAAAACCCTGTGAAATTTCTTTATTGATTCCTGGTCGGATAATCCTTGTTGTTTTGCACGTCATTCCGTTGTTGATTGCTGTTAAAACGCTGTGAAATTGCCTTAATTTTGATTTACGATTTGAAAATTGGTGTTACAACCTGTGAAATGACCAAGTGTCGGATAATTGAAGTCATTTTTGGATGTCATTCTGCTGTTGATCGTATTTTTTTTCCAGGATGATATATTGTTTTAAGTTTAGAGTATCTTGTGTACTTGTACATTGCTAATTTAGCGTCTGAACCATTTATATTGCTGTGTTTAACATGCATAGCTGGTGGTTTCTTCATGAAATAGTTTTAAAATTTTACATGGCTACTATAGTTTAAGACAAAATATCATCTGAATATGTAATTTAAAGTTTATCTTGAGAGATTACGATTTTTCTGATCTTCAGGTTTTGAAGAGTTGGAGAGAAGGCTTGAAGATTGAGAGGGAATGACGAATTCTGAAACTGATTACATCTTTTTTGCTGAGAGTGAAAATGAGGATGAAGGTAAAGATTTCGATGGAGATGAAGATAAGGATTTAGATGGAGATGAAGATGATGGGAAGGATTGTGATATTTCAGATTATGCGGAGGATGACAAACCTAATTCTCTGGACACAGCATGGCCTCAAAGTTACAGGTACACCCCGTCCCCTTTTGGTCACTAAACTATTATCCCTATGGCTTGTATGTGGGTTAACTCCTGAATCGTTGATGAAAATTTATATGGTTTCTATTTTGAGAATTTGATCCTTTATTTGTTTTTCTCTTCAAAACTGGATGACTTTTTGAGCTATTTAATAACTTAACGATCAAATATTTTCATGTCAAGCATATATGTTTTATTGTTGGTTAAAAACAGTTCAATAAGAAGAATTTCTAATGGAACACATTAGAGATGGACATAATTGAAATGTACAATTTCATTAGAAAGAATTACGTGCTTGTGGCTAATTTCTTTTCTTGATATGATGTTTCAGGAAGTCGATGGATCTTTACAGTAATGTAGCATCTCCGAATTTAAACTTTCTGGCGTCTCCTAGTTTTCCATCATTAGGGAGTTCATTCATTTCCTCATCACCTAAAAGGAGGCACACAAGTTTTGGCAAACCTCTCCTTTTTCCTGGAGATGACAACCAGCAACCACAAGAACGTCATAGTTCTGATCATTCACTTCACCGTCATCAGACATCTTCTGCCAAGAAGTTATCACAATATCATAAATCACAAATTAGACAAAGTTCATTTGGCCAATCTGTGGTTAATGGTATGTATATTTGTGCTACATGCACATCATTTATTTGAAAACTTCATCATATTGTCAACATGATATAATATAAGATAATGGTGAATAATTTAGTGTGAGAGTGGAAATGACGTTATTAGCAAATATATTAAACCACCTTTGAGAAATATCCACACCAATGGTGAATGATATTGTTCAAATATGTTGGTAATTTTCCATTGCAGAAGTGAATTTGAATCTTCGTTTATCTGTCATCGTACATTCATCATAACTTTCTACCCATGCATGATGATTTCTTGTAGGCGTTAATCTTCTTTGTGGAGTGGCACTTCTTTCTACTCCTTATGCAGTCAAAGAAGGAGGATGGGTTGGGCTGTCGATATTGTTTATCTTTTGTGTTCTTGCATACTACACGGGCATCCTCCTCCGCTACTGCTTGGATAGTCAGCCGGGCCTTAAGACTTACCCAGATATTGGTGAGGCCGCCTTTGGCATAGTCGGACGCCTATTCATCGCTGTAAGTTTGATTAACGTCTGAATATTGTAGTTTGCATTTTATTCAAGTTTGAACGCTTTAAGAGAATATATAAAAGATATTGCTCAATTGATTATTTATATAATTGATTGGTTTGACGTATTAAGCAGTAATTAATGGAACTCGAAATAAAAAAAATGTTTGGTTTTACATAAGATAATGGGTCCCCACATTGCCCAAATTTTCTTTCCATGTCAATTTGGGGAAATGAAAATTTATTCTCATTTTCATTCACATTTTCATCCCTCAAACTGAACCAAACAACCCTTGGTCCTTGGATTATTTTTCCTTGTTCTTCATTGTTCTCCTGATCCATCATGTCTTTTTTGTAGCTTTACAAAAGTTGTTTTCTAAGCTTGTCTAAAGGTCTATAATCGTTATCAATATAAATCTCAAGGTTAAAGAAACAATATTAGGGGCTGTTTACCAAACGCTTACCAAGTAACATTATCTCACCGGATGAATATGGTAAGGAACAAAAATCGAGACAAAGACCAAGAGTCTTACCCGGTAAGTGAGGGCGACGACTCTTACCACGGTAAGCGCTTCCCGGGTAAATTGTTGCATATGATGTCGTTTTCGTGGACTAAAATCTTACCCGCCAAGTAAATAATAGTGTTAAATTTTACCCGTAAGCACTTACCGGGTAAGTGTTTGGTAAATGGCCCCTAACTTTTTCAAGAGTAACAGACATTCACCTTCATAACCTAAGTTACATAATTCTCAATTACTTTGCTGGAATAGTTTACTTTATTAAGTTGTCGCTAAGTCCTATTGTATTTTTAGTTATGACCAAATGATGTTGTAGAACGTTTTGACAGTTTCTTTTTTACATTTTCTTAACAAAACTAAAGCTGTTGAAAAAGAAAAGGATTACATTTACATTGATGGGAGTTAACAGTATGACTGATGCTGATCAATATTCTTTTCTCTTGTTTTCTGTTTTCCTGCAGATAATTCTGTATGTGGAGTTGTATGTAAGTATATCCAACACAGCTGATGCATTTAAATCTTGATAGTTGCTTAAAGTCATATCAGGTCCACATGCTCAAATTTATTTGTCACACAAAATTAGTAGAGCAAACATAAATTGTGTGGAGCTACCTTCCATAATATTCCCATTGAAGTTATGGCAGGATTCAAATCCCCAATTCCGATAATTGGTGTGTGGTCTGTTCCTAAGGTCATGTACCTGATGAGATGTAATTCATCACGGAGATGTTGGCATGCAGCACTACTGAAGTGTCACTAATAAGCAAACTGTGTAACTATGGTGGTTTGCAATGCAAAAGCATAGCAAATAAATCAATTAACACTATCATTTCTACCTTTATGCAAATTTGTGCAACGAAATCCTAGTTTTGTTGTAGTAACGAGTTAAAAGTCCTCTTTACCTTTGTCCTCTAAAACATAACATATTCCCACATAAGTCTCCTCTTCTCCATAAAATGGATTCTTTAATTGCTGCTTGTTTTTCCTTATGAAACGTAAAATTCTGATGTACTAAGCAATATTTCTATCACCTTGCTCATTTCTGTTTATGATTGGTTCATTACTAGCTTTATCTACTTAACATAAAATGCAATCTAGCTAGAAAACTGAACTTTGATTTTCTATAGTAAAATACAATATTGTCTCAAATATTATCAAAAGACTGATCTGGTAACAACATTATTGTGTCAATCTTATAGTATAATACAACGATATTCTTGGGGTCTATAACCAATCTATATCACACTTTATCTGTGTCCTATATCCTAGAAGCTATCTTAATTTCTGGTCACTTGACCTTGAATTTGATTTTAATTTGATCTCCACATTTCCTCCACTGCAGGCAGCGTGTGTTGAATTAATAATCTTGGAGAGTGATAACCTATCTTCTTTGTTCCCAAATGCACATTTAAGTTTCGGAGAATATCAACTGAGTCCACAATATTTGTTTGCAATTGTGATCACTCTTGCTGTGCTTCCTACTGTTTGGCTTCGTAACTTGAGTGTTCTCAGTTACATCTCTGGTTGGTGCAGAAAGATCATTGTTGTATATTTATATACATACATACATATATATATATATATATATATATATAATAACTTATCAACTTTTTGAGTTCTAACTATGGTATATATGCTTTGTTTCCAGCTGGCGGAGTTTTTGTAACCATCATATTGGTCATTTGCTTGTTTTGGGTTGGTTTGGTGGATGATGTTGGCTTTCAGACTGAAAGCACGACGACATTAAACCTCTCCACTTTGCCTGTGTCTATTGGGATATATGGATATTGTTATGCAGGACACGCAGTTCTTCCTAACATCTATATGTCCATGGAAAAACGAAGCCAATATCCTCTAGTCCTCTTAGCCAGGTAAGCACACTTTTGCACCACTCGATACTCGAAACCAAATAAGGACTTCTTTCTCAGTAGGAGTCTTTTGTTGTGTCATTCATCCAGCATTGCTAGCATTTGTGTAACTTGTGTAGTTCTATGTTTTTAAACTTCATTCTTTTTAAAGCTTTGCAATATGTACTTCTCTTTACGGTGGAGTTGCCATAATGGGATACATGATGTTCGGAGAATCAACAGAATCACAATTCACTCTCAACCTGCCGACAAAATTGCTGGCCTCGAAAATTGCTGTCTGGGCTACGGTACGCCAATTAAAATAAATAATTAAGTTTATAAGTTACTGAGAGTCAGTATGATAAACAAACATCTTTCTTACTTTAAGTCTATATCCACACATTTGCTAAACCTGGCATGGCCTAGGTGATTTCATCTGCTTAATGTGCTAAAGTTTGTATGTACATTAGTTCCGAAATTTCTTTGTACTAATCTATGTCAATTTTTTCCTTTTTGTAGGTAATCAGTCCATTTACCAAATATCCTTTTGCTTCAAGTGATCATCCAGCCTCTTAAAACCCTTTGATTCTTTTTTAAGAAAAATCACTGTCTCTACTTTTTTGAGAGTAGAGGCTATATCTACTTACATCCCACTTCCCCAAACTAGGTGGAATATACTGGATTTGTTTGGTTTGGTGTGGGAACTTTGTCTCTTTATTTGCACCGATCTAATGTTAAGTGGAACCATGATCCTAAAACCATCCTACAGTTTTGATGTGATTGTAGTCGCTTAACAAGAATCACATATGCTTTAACCATATCCCCAGTTGCTTTGAGTCTGGAGGAATTGATACCATCAAATACTTCCATGTCTCACTTGTATTCCATCCTCATTAGAACGGCGTTGGTTATCTCTACTTTACTTGTGGCCCTCTCCGTCCCCTTCTTTGGTAAGTCATCCGATTACGTATTGACACAATTTTTTTTATTTTTGGTCCTACTGGTTTCATTGTTGGACATGTCATGCGCACCATTCACAATCTTTTATTTCTTTCACAGGTCTGGTGATGTCGCTAATCGGATCTTTACTGACAATGCTTGTGGTGAGTTTTTATTTATAATGTCAAATGTTGCTTTTGCCCTTCCTAGAACAAACAACTAAAGACCATATGGAATGTGTTTAGTATTTACACATTGGATGACCATAAAAACTAACCTGGCTTTTGTTGTTCCAGTCCTTGATATTTCCTTGTGCTTGCTTTTTGCGGATAGTTAGGGGAAACGTAACTCGCCTTCAGGTATCACATCTCTCAACCTTAACATGTCATAAAAAGGAACATGCTATATCATATGTCGAACTTCAAGGGTAGTCCACCAGTTTTATGGTCATTTTCATTTGTGAGATTCCTTTCCATTATGTAAGGATTGGTGAAAAAATAGAAACCCACAAAATAGAAATGAGAAATCAAGATACATTAACCAAAGAAATGGAGCCCAAGTGTAAGTAACAAGTTCGAACTAACAGTTCCAATGAATGATGCGTTGCTAGTAGAGTCCCACGTTCACTAAACTTGGACCTTTCTACTTCAATACATGTTTGAACCTCCCTTCTCTAAAGAACTCTTTTGGAAAGTAATCTGGGGTTCCACATATCCCACATGGTATCATGGTCGGGGTCGGAACTATGTTCCTATTTATTTTTGTTTCTACTTTCGAGGGTTTTGACACTAGGAATCCTATTTTTATTACATATCTTTTTATTTTTAGTTATATATAGTTAATGATTAACTATTGCTCTACATATGTGTCCGTCTAGCCTCTGTTGGAGGGGGAGTGTTAAAAATCTCACATCGACTAGACTTGTACCTTTCTACTTTGTTATGTGTTGGAACCTCTCATATATCCTCAAAAGCTCTTTTGAAAAGTAATTTGATGATTCCACATATCCCACAATCCACACCCCAAGAAAGCATTATAACGGAAGCATGTGTGGTACCGTCTCTTTGTTCTTCTCTTACTCATCCATTTTTGTTTTGGTTGGTAGGGATCGCTCTGCGTATTAATCATTGCAATTGGCTTCGTCTCATTAGCGTTTGGAACCTACGGAGCCTTATCTGAAATCATTCAGCAGCTATGATCATGTGTTGGTACTCAAATTCGAACTCGTATGACATTCTGTGTCAACAAGTTATCAAAATAGACAGTATATAGTTTTATTCAAGAATATGGGGTACTTCAGAATGCTACTACTTGGTTGAATTGGATCTATACATGATAGTTGTATAAAAATTCAATGACAATTATCCAATATGCATGTTCTAGATCATAGTTTTTACTCCAAGGTAAACTATATCACATCAAGATTCAAATAAAATGAAACCAATCATAGACAGTATATCCCACTTAGAAGTATGATCTGGAGGTAAGATTTACACAGAGAGGATGATTCTCTTAAATGAATCTCGTTAAAAACTTATGAAACGGATATTGATACTTTGGGGGTCGTTTATCGAACGTATGTCCCAAATCACATTACCTTACCAGATGAACATGGAAAAGATCGAGAATCTTATCTGGTAAGGCAATGGCAAGGACTAAGGGGGCGTTTACCAAACACTTACCTGGTAAGTGTTTCCGGTAAAATTCAACACTATCATTTACTTCCTGCGTAGGATTTTAGTGAACAAAAACGGCATTGTATGCAACAATTTACCTGGTAAGCACTAACCGTGGTAAGAGTTGCCGCCCTCACTTACCGGATAAGACTTTTGGTCCTTACCTCGCTCTTAGTCTTACCTAGTAAGTGAGATGGCAAGGACTGAGAGTCTTACCCGGTAAGTGAGGATGACGACTCTTACCTGGTTAGCGCTTACTGGTAAATTGTTGCATATGGTGTCGTTTTGATAGACTACAATTTTATCGACAAAGTAAGTGATAGTGTTGAATCTTACAAGTAGATATTATTTGTGGCAAACTCAATTCAGTTTTGACATCTTGAGAGAAATGGCCACATCCCAACTCTATCTATGTCTGAAATCCAAATTAGCTCCAACAAAATTTAACTTTGATACCATGTCTGACTATGCATTGATGTCCCAAAAAAAGTGCAACACCAGAAAAGGAAAAGGCGGAGCGCATGAACGCATGAACTATACAGGATACGACAGAACAAAGATTTGTTAGACCCACATTTGGTGCAACAATAGGGTCACAAAATAGGTGAAACAGAGATAGGGAAATTGGACAAGCTTGGTAAATTACTACACTACCGGTGTCTAATTAAAACCCTATTATCTTCCACAATTCTTTCAACTGTCTACACCAATCTCGCCCGTTCAGTCAGGTCCTGTATGCATGCCAAACACACAAAGAGACCGATTCTGTGACACAAAAACCATAACCTACCAGTCCTCAAGAAGTAACCTTACCTGTGTGTGTAGAGAGAGAGAGAGGAGGGTTCAAACGAGAACAATAACCAAATAAGATAACACGAAAACAGTTAGTCACATGCAAGATTACATGTGATTTTACAGTAACGGTCAATACAAGGGTGTGCGGGCAACATGGCTTGTGACATTAGGTCAAATCACAAGTGATTTTAATCACAAGCGATTTTAGTGTAAAATCACATGTGATTCAACCGTTTTCTTATTATCTTGTCTGGATACCGTTCTCGTATGAAGTTCACTCTATATATAGAGAGAGGGGGAGGTCCAAACGAGAACAGTAGCTAGATAAAAGAACACGAAAACGGCCAAATCACATGTGATTTTACACTAACGGTCAACATAAAGGTGCGGGGGCGATGCGAGTTGCAGCCAAAGTCGCATAAATCACATGTGATTTTACACATGATCTTTGTGTAAAATCACATGTGATTCGATCGTTTTCTTATTCTCTTATTTAGTTACCGTTCTCGTATGAACCCGACTCTCTCTCTCTTCTATATAGTTAACAACTCTACTAGAGCTAAATAAATAATTGAAACTTGAAAGATAATACGGTAAACTAGTGATGTTCAGAAAGCAAGACACAATCCATGGCTTTTTCTACGATTTAGAATCAATTGAACACGTAAAAAGAACCAAATTTTGCATCAAACTTTCAACAAGCATTCGCTTAACTAATCAACCAAACATCATATGTGAATAAAAGCTGCAAAAAACATACATTACCATCCCGACTAAACCATCGCTCTCCTTTGCGAAACTTTAGCTTTCTCTGCATCTATGATCGATTCCATCGTCTTAACACAACTCTCTAACTTCCCTTCAGCATTCACAACCACATAATCGAAATTCTTCATCTGCTTCAACTCTTCTCTAGCTGTGGCAACCCTCACCAACAACGCCTCCTTACTCTCCGTTTTCCGATCAATCAGCCTCATCACCAACTCGCTCTCGCTCTCCGCCACAAGAAACACGAAAACCGCAGAATCCCCAAGAATCTTTCTCAATGTAGCTGCACCCTGTATATCTACTCTCAACACAATATCATACCCTTTTGCCATATAATCTCTAATCTGTTGTTTTGGTATCCCTTTGTAATCTCCATACACCAATGCATACTCTAAAAGCTCATCATTTTCCACCATTCCTAAAAACTCTTCTTTACTCATAAAAAAGTAATCTTTCCCATTCACTTCACCTGCCCTCATTGGCCTACTTGTGGCTGTCACAACAAAGTGAATGCTTTCCCTAACTTCTCTCAGTCTTTTTATCAAACAGTCTTTGCCCACACCACTAGGACCACTAATCACTATGATCAAAGGCCTTGGCTTTGGAGCCAATGGCTCTGAACTGAATGATGAACCCACAGATGTTTCCAGGGCGCGATACAACTCGGTCCGGTCGGCGGTTTCCACCGACGGAATTGGGACGGCGGCGAGTCTCCGGGATTCGCCCATACCAGAAATTAACTTGGGGGTTTGAGAATTTGGGATTCGTGAAGGGAATTGGTTGATTACGAGGAGAGGATTTGTAGGTTTTTTGGTAAAAAGAAGAGGGTTGAGATTGAGATAGGAGATAGATGCACAAAACCTTCGACTTAGCATCGAATCAAAAGGGGGTTTTATATCGGGAATATATAAGTGGGGTTCGGAATTTAGGGTGCTGAAAGAGGGTTTATTGGAAAATTGTAGGATCTTGGATTGAAGCTGTGGGCAGAGAAAGACGACGGCGAAACGGGGGGCTCTCGAGAGAAACTGTGCATCGGAGGGTAACCATGGATAGGATTCGTCAGTTTAGTTTACGGTTTGACACTTGTAATATTTTATTTGTTCACAAACGCATGAAACATTCTTACATTTAATTTTCATTTTAAGAATACTAGAAGGATAATTTCGCAATGCATCAAAATATATATTTATTTTAATGTTTTGTTTTATCTTTTATCTATGTTGATATAATACGATTTATGTGGTTTTAAAAAAGATATTGTTTTTATTTTTAAATAAAAATAAATTTGAAAATCATAAAAGTTTGAAAAAATATATCAATATTAATATTAAATTAACTATTCAAAAGTTCTCTTTTTTGTATAATTTCTTTGGTTTAATTTTTTATTATAATTTAATTTAGATCAAACAGTAAAGTAATTTATTTTTGGTTTAATAATAATTTTTTTTATAAAAACAATAATTATGTTAGAACTCAATGATTATTATAATTATATTTTAGATTTTTTATATTTAAAATGAGATATTTATCATATATTTGATTATGTTTATTTACAGTTAGTTATACGAATTCAAAAACTGAGTTTTAATAAGTTGTACTTACGCACAATTTATTTGTGCTCTTAAATTTTAAGTAATATATATTAATAAACAATACTTCATGCATAAAGAATGGTTTTAAAAGTTTTTGTTAAATGTTTTATCTATACTATATTATAAAACATTTGACAAAAACTCCTAAAAACCATTTTTATGCACAAAGTACTATTTATTGATGCATAATACTTAAAATTCAAGATTACAAGTAAATTGTGCATAAGTACAACTTATTAAAGCTCCATATTTGAATTCGTGTAACTAACTATAGATAAACATAATCTAATACAGGATAAACATCTCATTTTAAATATAAAATATCTAAAATAAAATTAGGATAATCATTGATTTATAACAGAATACTTAATTACTATCTTTATAAAAAAATTATATTATTAAACCTAATTCGTAATTAAACCTAAATCAAATTATAGTAAGAAAAATTAAATTAAAAAAAATACACAAAAAATAGAAATTTTAAATAGTTAGTTTGATATTAATATCAATATTTTTTTTTAAAATTATTATGACATCTTCATATGTATATTTTTTGCAAAAGTAAAAACATTATCATTTTCTTAAAACCACATAAAATTGTATTATAACATCAAAGAAAGAAACGAAACATTAAAGTCGAACAACATCTTAATAATCATTCATCTATATAGTATGTGTATATATAAACAATTGAAGATGTTTTTTGGTTTTTATACACGTATGCATAACGAAAAAATTATTTGTATGTACATATGCATACCATGCAAATGAAAGGTTACTAAAAAAGGTGGGTCTACTAAGGTCCAAGCAGGGTTCCTTGCACCCGCTCAACCATTTTTTGCAAATTGATTTTTTTTTTGAATAAAAAGTGTACCTGTTAAACTTTGAGGGTGCTCCCTGATATTAGAAAATACAAAAAACCGAAAAATCCTCTCGAAATCAACCAAAAAAGTAAAAAAAAAAATCTCTCGAAACGAAAGAATTTTTCGACTAAAAACATATCGGACGACTTTACAATCCTTTGATCCACCTTAAAGGTGCACCCACTAGAAGAAAAAAAATTGAGTCTGTCACTACTTACTAAGGTGTTCCTGGGTTTTTTTATTTTCTTTTGCAGTTTTTCCCTACCAACTAATTTGATATATATTTTGTTATTTTAAGTAATGACTCTTCTACAATAGACGAAGCTTAAGAATTGAGTTCATGTTTTAGTGCGAAAGATCTTGCAGTTTTGAAATATCTTTTTGGTTTTGAAGCGTTTTCTTATGCCACTTTGGACCTTATTATTTGAGGCGGGTCTTCTAGCTTTGTTATTGAGCAATGAACAGGATCATCGTATCTCGTTATCTATGAAATCAATTATCTTTTTTGACAATTCATTACAATAGTTGTTGGCTTTTTGGCCTAACTTATCAATTTGACCATCACTTGTATGGATCTCTCTTGAGTGGTACATACTTTGGCTTAGTTTATGAAAGGAACTCGGATCACTGAGTGAGAAACTGCTTTATGAGTCGTTCATTGAAAGATCGTCCTAGTTGATGTATACTTCTTCGCTCCAACTCTGGTTCGCACCTCATTGCTTGTTCCGACTTTTCAAGTGACTTGGACCAGGCTACCCTTTGAACCACTCTTGTTCTCTTACTAGTTGGATTATCGCACTTGATTCGTCTCCTATCTCCTGGAAGACTATGAAGCAACACGCAATGTCTCCTTCCTTTGTCGAGATTGAATATTGTTATATGGCTAATATTACGTTTGAGCTTATGTAGTTGAAATCGTTGTTTCCTGGTCTTATTGTTTACAAATGTTACCCCGTTCCGTTGCATAGGGGTTGTTTGGTTGCTTTTTCACTAAGCCTTGTATGGATTAATTTGTTTGTATAGATTGAGAATGTTTTTGTTTTGATATGGTTTATCATAAATGGAATGAACGTGTCCTTTAATTAGGAGGGGCATGTTTGGAGAAAACTTGGTTTTTTGCATAAAACTCTCCTTAAAAAGCTTAAGGAATAAGTCACTTTCTATATCATTAAGCCACTACCAAACAATCATGTATAGTTGACTAAATAAGTTGTGAGTCCCAATAAGCTTATTAAATTGTTAACAAACAGACCCTTTAAGTCAAAATTTGTCATGTCACAACAATCCCTGTATTTCATGAGCATACAAAACATATCAAAATTGATTGTCATTTTGTTCGGGATGCCTCCTACGTTCCCACTCGTACACAGTTGGCAGATTGTTTTACAAAAGCTCTTGCCGAAATTCAATTCGATACATAAATATGTTGCATTTCCATTCTATATAATAAAGTTGTGATATTAATTTAAGAGCAATAACGTTATATCTTATAATCCACACTTGTTTTGTCTAATTAGTTGTCACAAGTTTAGGACCCCGTGTCAAACAAACCAACCATTTGTTCTCTCCAATTATAGGATCTACAAGCCTTCTCTTCAACCCCTCCCTTATAGACCTCTCGCAACCGTTACCGCTCGGTGTCATGACCGGCTCAAACGGTCGCAACGGTTTTCCCTGGCTCTCCATTTCCGCTTCAACAATCTGGTTAACCATTTCCAACACCTGGCTCATTTTCGGCCTCATTCTTGGTTGTCTAAGCAAGCATTTGTTAGCCACAGCAGCTAGCTTTTGCGCGGACTTGAGGGAATAGTTCCCAACTAACTGAGGGTCCAAAATTAGTTGAAATTTTCGCATGTCATTAGAGATGTGTGGTCTTACCCAATCCAATAGCTTTTGCTCGTTTTTTGGTTTATTAAGATCCAATGGCCTCCTACCCGTGATGAGTTCGTATAAAAAGACTCCATAGCTCCATACATCACTCTTGGATGTGAGTCGTCCAGTTTGAACGTACTCTGGAGCTGCGTACCCGACTGTTCCAACTACCTGTTCCAATCAAGAATTATATATCCGGTTATACAAAAAAATCTTCAAAAAGGGACATTAGGGTCACTCCACAAGATAATACAGCAAATAAACTAATGGGTCTATGGCCCAACGGTAGAGCCTAGGTCAAGGTTCATCCCTCACGAGTGTGCGCGAGTATTCGCTATTATATATATATAATGCTTCAAAAAGAAAAAAGCAAAGTAACATACTGCTGTCGAGACATGGCTTAGCCCCTCTGAAGGGCCAAGCCTAGCCAATCCAAAATCTGAAAGCTTCGCGTTCCAGTTCTCATCCAACAGAATGTTCGAAGACTTAAAATCTCTAAAGATTACCTGCACCATAACAAAATGTTTCAACCACCGAATCTCGTAATTAAAAATGTCAATGTAGTTTGCTTTCGAGTTTTTAGGGGTACCTGAAATTCCATTTCTTCGTGGAGGTAAGTTAACCCTCGAGCAGCATCCTGTGCAATTTTTAGCCGTGTAGACCATGGAAGAGGTGTCCGTACTCTACTAGATAAATGATCTTGAACGCTCCTGTTTGGCATGTATTCATACACCAGAAGACGTTGGATCCCTCTTTCATCGTCTTCAGCACAATAACCGACAAGTTTGACCAGGTTCGGATGGTCAACAAACCCAAGAACGTTCACTTCCGTAACCCATTCCTTGTGGCCCTGAGAAACAGTTAGAATGGGAAAATTTAGGATCGTGCTTAAAGAGCATCTTAGGGGATTTTCCTGTTTGTTATCTTCAGGGCCAATGAGATTAGATAAGGTACCGGCAAACTGGCATGGACACCCACGGTTACTGGATGAATGAAAATAAAAATAAAATGCTGAAAGAACTAACCTGCAACCCTCTTCTGCCAAGCTGTTTGACAGCAATATCTATCTTTTTTACCGAACCATCTGTATTTCGTATCACAGCCCGATACACGCATCCAAAACCGCCTTCTCCAATCATGAGGGCGCGACTGAAGTTTCTTGTGGCTGTTTTTAGCTCAGCAAATGTGAATACCCTGATATTATTATTACTGTTACTACTCGGCCTTTGACTCAAACTTGCGAACGAAATCCTAGTGGAGGATTCCGTGCTAACATCAGAGGCATCAACTGAAGTAAATTCGGAGCCTGATTTCCGCTCATATTGACCATTGGACATGGAAGGAGACGAACGAGCAGACTTTGTGTTCTTGGATTCATTGCTTTTGTCTCCATGGGAGAAGGAGAAACATCTCATGCCCTTCATTTGCCTGCAAATGATGGTTGGTTCAGCAAGATTTCTCAGCCATTTGTAAAGGAACCAGTTTTGCAAGAATGATTGGTTTATTTACAACTAGGTGCTTATGTGCCCTTTAAGATGATCACAAATTTAATAAGCAAAAGTAATGAGCAAAGAATCTCTGATAGGGTGTCAACAGTTTCTCACAAAGCACATGTGTAATATTCTATTCGAAAAACATATCTGACTTTTAAATGTTATTGAATAATGAATCGTGGTATCCATCTTGGTTGTCAATGAATCTATACTTTTTGTATAATTACTTATCAACTTATTATAAGTCAGAAAGGTTTAATTTTTTTAAAAACACCTTATTACCGGTTTGGTACCGGTATAAGTTGTTTATCCAAACACTCAAAAATGCTTATTATCGGTGTCACACCGGAATAAGTCAAATATGTATTGCACAATTAGACCTTTCGCCTTTCCGTTGATGATTGTACCAATCAATGATCTTATTTCAAAAATAATGTTCTAAGAGGCCGTTTTTACTTGGTAAGTCTCATCACCTCTTCTTCCCTTATCGTGTAATATTTTCGACCATCAAAATGGATTATGCCATTATGGTAATAATCTTTTACCTGGTAAGCGCTTATCAGTAAGATTCTTGATCCTTTAATGTCTCCTCCTCGTTAAGAATCTCGGTCCTTATCTGACAAGTAAAGCGCTTTAACCGGTAAGAGTTTGGTAAACGGCCTGTATTGTCGTTCGGATATCCCAAAAACATTATGACTGATTTTCGTGAATAAGACAAAAACAAATAATTTTTACATCTTCTATTTCACTCTGACGAGCAATTGAAGAACTAATGGTTTTTCTTCCGGATCCGAATTTAATCTCGAAGATCATAAAACGATATCAAAATCGAGATTGAAAATGTGAAGAACAAAAAAAATCGTAATAAATACATATGAAGACAAAACTCTAAATCGTAATCAAAATTAAGCTATCGAACGAATTGGGGAGAAACCCAAATTAGGATCCTGAGATCAACAAAAACCTATCTGCGATTTGTGAGATCACAACCAATTTCTACTAAAACAGTAAATCCACACCTAGTAAACAACGTGATCAACAATCAATGAAAGGTTTGATTTCATTAAGAAATAGAAAATAGAAGAGGAAATACCTGTCGTAATCTGTGTTGAAGATGGGGAAGAACTACAACGCTCCAAACAAATCCATATTGAGAAAAAAAGAGTGAATGTAGAAGGAAATGGAGAGAAGATAGAAGGTAGAAATGGAGAAGTGAATGCAATTGGTATGGTAGGCAGCTGGAATTTAGTTTACCAAACTTATGTCTGAAAAAATAACAGAGAGATGAAGATAAATGGATATGAAGGTGATGATGAGGAGGGAAAGTCTTTGAAAGCGAGATTGAACGGAAGTGGACACGTGTTCATTTTTGCATATACTTAGGAAAATTAATATGGATTGTTGAGTTTTGATGCAAATAAAAATTAAAAATTATGGTAAGAATACGAGAATAATACTTTTATATGATTAATTTTACTTTCAATCATTTTCATTCGTCTATTTTTATTATTATTATAAGAGTATTCGTACAATGCAGTGAGACATATCTCGATTTTAATGTTCTATTATATTATTTGTTTGTGTCGATGTTATAATATGATTTTATGTGTTTTTAAGAAAACAATAATGATTTTATTTTTGAATAAAATATAAATTTGAAAAAAAAAATATATCAATGTTAATATCAAATCAACTACTTAAAAGTTTTATTTTTTATGTAATTTATTTATTTTTAATTATAAATTATAATTTAATTTAAGTTTAATAATAATATAATTTATTTTTGGTTTAATAATATAAATTTTATAAATATAATAATTAAGTATTCTGTTAGAACTCAATGATTATCCAAATTATATTTTAGATTTTTTATATTTAAAATGAGTTGTTTATCTTGTATTTGATTATGTTTATCTGCAGTTAGTTACATGAATTCAGATATGAAGTTTTAATAAGTTGTACTTACGCACAATCTACTAGTAATCTTGAGTTTTAAGTAATATGCATTAATAAACAGTACTTTGCGCATAAAAAATGGGTTTTAAGAGTTTTTGTCAAATGCTTTATAATATAGTATAGATAACCGAAATTTTAATAAATTATGATATGTAAGTGATTAAGGGTTGTTTACTCAAATGCTTACTCAAGAGGTGTTCATCGATACGAGTCAACACTATTATTATTTTTGATGCGTAAGATTTTAGTACATCAAAACGTATCAAATGCAACAATTTATCGGGTAAACGTTTACCTGGTTAAGCGCCATTATCTTCACTTATTGGGTAAGACTCTTCATTCTTCTCATCGTTCTTACCCAGTAAGATTCTTGGTTTTTGTCATGTTCATCTGATGAGGAAATTTATTCGGTAAACACTTATCAAGTACTTCATTCTTGAATGCATATTAGAATAAGATGCACCAGATCAATCCATGTATCAAAAGCTATTTATAGGTGAGTTTGATTAAAGGTGATCAATGGCCCAGATCCTCTTAAGCTTCTCACATTAACTTTCCTTGTCACACGATTCTTTGTTTATATATATATATATATATATAGGGGAATAATCGTGTGACAATGAGAGTTAAGGTGATAACCGTAAGAAGAGATTTGATGATAAATGTTATTCAATCATCTTGTTTAATTGTGCACAAGATTGAAGGAGTTCTGTTAATTCATGATATTGGTTAAGTATGAAGAACACGTTCATATCAGCTAATTTAAACATGGAATTACCATACGAAGATTAAGGGTGCGCAATCCCTTTAAGGGTTTATAGGCAATGCACCTTGGGGTGGCTAACATTAAGATTAATGATTTTAGTGTGTATTAATTGTCGAAGCACTGAAGGGATTATCAATGGCAATGATCAGTGTGATGTTGTAACACCCCTAAAATTCATAATCCGAATCGCTGAGAGCCCAGAGCAAAAATAAAATTTATCCAACAAAAGGAATAATATGGCGGTTACAATCCGGCTAATCGAGAAGATAAATAACAGCCTATTAATCTAGAACATTCCAAATCTAGATTAAAGACGGGG